GGCGCTGGGGATCAAACCTGGGCTGTGGGCATGCTAGTACTGACCCATAACCCCAGCCCGATGACCCAGCCTGAGAATGTGGCCTGTTTGGCCTTCCGATTGAACAGACGAAGAAGCCACTTGGGAGTGATGGACCAGGAGGCAGGATGCTCTGGGAAGAAGATCCTGTTCTTTTAATACAGGATTTTAAATGGAAAAGTGTATTCTGAGAAATAATGATTTTTTTTTTAAAAAAGTTTGCAAATAACTATTCTCAAATACTCTGTGGATGTAGCCAACTGTTCTGGTAAACTATTCTAGAAAATTGCATTCTATTATGGCATTCTTTGCCCTTTACTGCTGAACATTCTGAGCTCCTAACACAAGGCTGAAGCTGTGATATCTGGATAGTCAGGTACCTTTCTTCCTTAGAAGAAATGTGTCAGTAATCAAAATAAGCAGAGCTCCCACTCCCTACCTCCCTGCTCCCTGTGACTATCTCTGGCCACACTCATGCATAGAATTTTAGAGTGGAAAAGATCTCAAAAGCTCTCAAATCCAAATATAACTGGCTTATTTTCTAATGGAGAGTTAAAGATGTGTCTAAATAATTCATTTTGTGGGGAATACATCTCAGATTCAGCCTTCTATTTTCTATTCCATATTGCCAGCACTGATTTGGTTTATTTAGTCAAAAACATTTTTCAAAAGTAAATGCTTCTGTTTCTTTGGCTCTTTGTTCACCTAGTTTTCTAGGGTTCTGGGTCTATCAGAGTATATTTTCATGCATCTAATAACTTCTCCCTTTTGTTTCTCCCACAGCTGCCAGAATTATATGCATTGATTGAGAATTTTAATAAGGACAGTAAGAAATCAAATGTCCTAAAAACTCATAGCATTTCATTTAAAGAAGCACAGAAACTACTTACTAAAAGCCTGAATGCCATGTTATTCATCAGCAGAACTGGTGTGAGAAGAGAAGACCCCCAGCCAGTCTTCATGTGTACCACAGCTAAAAAGGAGCAGGAGAAGCCTCCATGCATGGCTGAGCTCCTGCACTGCAGCTTGCTGAAGGGCTTGCACTCCCCAGCACCTTGGTTTCCCAGGTCCCAAAAGAGACTGACTGAGGATGGTATCCCACTGCCCATGCACCCTTTTCCTTACAATGTTATACAGGATGGCTTAGATGCTTTGTCATGGGCTACCCCCGAGAAGACTCAGACCCCTCAGGTATTAGACAGATCTCACCTGCTGAAGCAAGTCTTTGAAGATAAAATTTCCAGATACTTCTTAGTGGACCCAGGTAATCTACACAGAGGAGGCCATAGAGGGAGAAGATGGGAGGGAATCTTACTGCAAACAGAGGTCAGTTTAGTCAGACACTGACCCGTGAAAATCTTGCATGTTCTCAGGTTCCTGCCTGCAGCTTTTGCTGTGTACTCTGGTAATGAAATACAAAACAGAGAATCAAAAATCCCAGGGCCAGGTACCAGCTAGTTCCTAAAAACTGTGCTCTTCAGGCAGACCACTTACCAACTTACCAACTGAGCCAGTTAGAAGCAGACTGAGGAGCACCCTGGACTACTCATTTCTTGTTAAATGAAGTCAGCAAAGTCTTATCTTTTTAAAATATCTTAGCTCTGCCAACACTTGGGGATTTTGTAGAAATTTTGTTCATAAATCTTTACTCTTTCCTTATAACATCTCTACCACAACTTTCATCAGAGGCCACAAACGCCACATCTGACTTTTTAATAGCCAGCTTGCCATCTCTGTAACAAAATACCTGAGAGAGAGACAGCTTACAAGAGGAAGGATTTATTTTGGTTCATGGCTTCAAAGGTTTCAGACCATGGTAAGCTGTCTCATTTCTGGGCCTGAGGTGAGGCAGTGCATCTTGGAGAGGAAATCTGCTCACCCCCAGGCATACTGGAAGCAGAGAGAGGAGTTGAGGAGGAAAGAGAGAGAGAGAGAGAGAGA